AATCTGTAAGAACACATGACAAAGGTAAATGAAGTTAAAAGAAGCAACAAGGTAAGGAGAAGATAATCAGAGAAGAGTTATTAACAGCACTTACCATCCTTGGACTAGGATGAAAATTAAAACTATTCATTCCTCCATGCCGCATGTGTTTTTTTATGGCCCGCCCATTTGCTTGCTTTCGCATATAGCTGTTTTTTTCTGACCCTTCACAAGCAAGAACTAGTAAACGCTAGTCAAGGAATGGTATAATTGTTTTGCGATGTAAAAATGGCACTGGGTAGATTTGTAATGCAAGGATCAATGAGAAATGCATAAATAAGTGAGCTAAAGGATATCAACTCGACCATTATTTTTCCTTCCAGTTCTTCCCATGCGTTGAATCATCCTCAGAGGAGAGACATTAGCATCAAAACATATAACTAGGTCGACTTCCATGATATCTAAACCTTCTTCACCTATAGATGTTGCAACAATGACATTGAACCCACCAGCTCTAAATTTCTGTTGAGAATGAGTATATCATGCAAGAGATGGTTGAAACAAAACAAATCCACTAAGATTTCCATAAAATCGTATTAAAGGGAAACAGATGTATACCTCCAAAACAGCCTGCTGAACTTTTTGTGACTGCCCTTTCAGTGTCTTACCTGTCGGAAACATAAAATGTTGCAATTAACTATGCTTCTTCCGTAATGTTGCAAGTTTCTGATGGAAACATCAGAGTAACAAACCTGAACTTTGACCAATAAACTCAGTTGCTTGGACCATATCTCCAATATTACTTAGTGCGTTCATTATGTCTCTGAAGATGAATGTAATCAGGTGAATACAAAAGAAGAAATACTATGGGTGAGTAAACAAGGTAACACAAACAACAAGTAAACAGACCTTACGCTTCCTCTGAAATTAGAGAAAATAATGACACGTGATGTTCTTGGATCTTTCACTTCTGCAGCCATAGAAAAAGATCATATCAATGTTCAGTTGTAGGTTAATAGCCAAGATCTAACATCAACTCTTTATTAATCTTAAACAAGAAAACATACTGAAATGGTCAACTAGTACTTCTAACATCTTCGACAACTTTGGGCTTGGGGCTCCGTTCGACAACCTTTGCTGCATCAAAAGCTTCAGTTTCTTAATATCTTCATTCTTACTCATCAACCTAGAAAACGGCCTGCAACAGCTGATAGTCTTAGAGAAACTTATTTTACAATGGTTTGATATAGAAAGCTATAATTCCTAAATCCAGTAAAATGCTAAAATCAGTTCAACAGAAAAAAGTATGAACATACCCTTCCTGCAATTTCTCTTCTAGCATCTCATATGCTGGTCTTATTCCATGACTAGAAAGGAGCTTACGAATGTGATAAAGAGTAATAAGGGCTGCAAAGCAAGATTCCACATCTCCGTGATTTACATGGGGAAGGCCGGATAGAGGTGCTTGACGAAACTTATCCCTTGCCATAAGTACTTCGTGTGGACTTAACTGTCAACCAAGAGTGGACGCTTGTGTGGATAATAAAATGTGAGAATTGACGCTAGTGGTAAAATAGATGTAAGAATCAAGGTACATACAGTTTGATAATCCCTGCTTAGATTCACCCCGAAATTTTTTAGCCTGGCTGCATATGGACGTATAATATCTAGCAGGCGTTTATTTACCTCATCTGCATCTACACCCAAGGGAACCTGCTCTGCCAGAATGATCCTACAATGATCAGAAATTATTTGGAGAGCAACACACTTGGAAAAGGCAGAAATCAGCTTGAACCTCGATTAGTTCTACTGTTCTGTCGTGGACATAAGGGCAAACATCGTGATCACTCTCATTTCGATACTCAAGTGTGGATATCTGCAAATTATCAATGATACCCTGGATGGCCTCTGTCTTTGCTGAGAATAAAAACTAAGGTTAGTGAGTGAGGATATTTAATAACACCAAACCTCCACAAAAGAAAAAGTCAATAACTTACATCCAGGAGTTGCAGTAAGAGCCAGTATTCTCAACTGTACTGGTATCGCCATCAACTAAAAGTTAAAGGGCATTAGTTGGTACTTTCACGTTGATCATTTTTCAGATGCATGAAGAGAAAGAAACACATAGAACTGCTCCAACCTTCAGGAGGCAAAATACAACTAACCTCACGAAGTACAACACAATAAGAATAGTTCCCCAAAGCTCGATGTGCCTCGTCAATCACCAAGCAAACCAAGTAGCTCGTAAGACACGTTCCTGAAAGTGATGGCTTTAGTAATCAAACGGTTGATCGCACAAAGAGCAGTGAATTCCGGTGATTTCAGAACGTTTATAAGTTTCAGCTCAGAATTTTGATAGAAGAACAAGAGCATCACCCGATTGTATATCCTTCTCCAGCACTTGTGGAGTGACAAAGAACACCCGTTTACTTTTCCACAAAAAGGCTCTTTTCGAAGGGCATGTCTGACCCGTCAAGTCAATTGTCCATTCCTGCAGTTAATTAAACCCACATTTCTCAACATATCACAATAAGAATCAGATAAAAGAAAAAGAAAAAATTATCAATATCTGGAGGAGGTAACACAACACATCGTTTGTGGAAAGTTCAAAGAGAATCACATACTTGTGGTATCCCCACAATATTATGACATGCCTCAATCTGCTGCATAACAAGAGGCCTAGAAGGTGCTGCAAAGACGATTTTACCTAGAAACATCAACAAGAACAACCTTCAGTTACATTCCAAAATCATTAACCGAGAGAGATTATCAAATCTATTCCATGGAGACAGAAGAGGTTATACCTTGTGGAAACCATCTAAAGTAATTATACATTACAACTGCGGCTATAAGTGTTTTACCAAGTCCCGTTGGCAAAGCAACCAATGTGTTTGAAAACAAAGCGGTCTTTGTTATAGTAAACTGATAATCTCTGAGAGGAACGTTCACTGAAATAAACCAAAGCCTATGTCAAGATTCCAGCAACAAGAAAGGAAAATCATATAAGTTACAAAAACTCCTCAAACCTGGATATATCCAAGTTTTAGCTGCCTCAGGATCAATGGCAACGCAGGGACTCTTGTCGTTACCACACTCAAATGCATCAACATTTGAGTCGGAAACAACGCAAGGAGTCTCCAAGGGAGGTTTGTGCTGAGTCCTTCCGATGAATTTATCGAGAGTAGATTGTCTTTGCGTAGTGCCATTTCTTAATGGGACACTCACCGAATTGGAAGGAGCGAAATTGGACAAGGAAGAAGAAGAAGAAGGATTTTTAAAGGTTTTCTGGCAAGCCAAGTCGATTTCTCTGACTGCTGCTTCCCAATCGAACTCCTGCACGAGAGAAAAATCAGAAAGCAAAAACCAAAATCGAACAATCAAACAACAAAAATCTCAATGACCCAGAAAGAGAAGGAGTGGGAATTTTCGACTTACTGTGTCTTCTTCTACAATTTCTACGGGAACCTCGGATCCCATTCTGGGAAATCACTTGATTCTTTTTCTCAGAATCTTAGCCTAGACTCGATCAAGCTTTTCAAATCCCGAATCTTTTTCACGATTTCGCATGAAATACTGTTCTCTCGGAATCCTCAAGAGTTTATTGTGTTCAATGGGTTTCTCGTTCTCTGGAAGAAACCCTCGCCGGAGCGACAGAGAGAGAGAGATTGGCGGGCAAATTTTGGAAAAATGAAAAGAAAAATCCCCTCCGGCCTAAAAAAACTCATCTAGTCTGAACCGAATAATAGATTGAAAATGATTATGGTGTAAAATCAGTATAGTTTTCTTATTAACGAAAAATCGATTACATATATTATATAAATATTTTATTTTCATTTTAGAAAAATATATTATAGAAATTATTATGCGGAATTTCAAATATATTTGTATATACAAAATATGTTTTACATTGAGATAGACTAAATACCTAAACCGAAACTCAATTATATAACAATCCAAATGGGTTTAGAAATTG